AGGACAAGGCGGCAAATAAACTCCGACCAAAATGAGCGACGCGAACTCGCGAGGCGAGTGAAACGGTTTACAGGTTATAAAAATTGATTCAAGGAGTGGAGAACAATGTTGCAGAATCACTGTGACATCTACACACCAGCCACTGTTAATGTAAAAACAAATACCACCGCCTTTCGTCTTGCCGGAGAGTGCTATGTCACGATCCGATCTTGCAAGATGGAATCCTGCTAGTTGTAGCGAAGTGTCCGGAATCAAATCACACAGCCATGTCTCCGTGAAGCACAAAACAGAAGCTGAAAGAAAGTCTTTGTTTTTTACCATCAGTAGCTGAAGTTCATCCATTTTGTTGTACAGTGAACGTACGTTGGAGAGGAAAAAGCTCGGAAGCACTGTTCGGATCCCGCGTCTGCGTAGCTGTACTAGAGCCCCCGACCGTTTACCCCTTGGGCGGCGTTTCGCTGCTTGAGCAAAGCCTAGCGCGGCATTGACTAGAATGCCTACTAATTCTGCCGCTGGAAGCAGAAAAGTAGGAATTAAATCCACAGGAGTTGTTTCCCTGATATTTAAAAGTTCGTCTCTTGTTAGAGAACTCCGAAAATCTTGGCAAAACACTGAATTGACAGACAAAACAAGACAAAACAGGGCGCACCGACCGGCTGAGGCTACCATCATCGGCACCATCTTCGCACCAGCACGGGTGTGCTGAACAGCAGGACTCTCTCACCAGCACTGTTGTGGTGAACAGCAGGCCCCTCTCACCAACACGGGTGTGATGAACAGCACGCCCCTCTCACCAGCACGGGTGTGATGAATAGTAGGCCTCTCTCACCAGCACGGGTGTGTTGAACAGCAGGCCCCTCTCACCAGCACGAGTGTGCTGAACAGCAGGCCCCTCTCACCAACACGGGTGTGATGAACAGCAGGCCCCTCTCACCAGCACGGGTGTGATGAACAGTAGGCCTCTCTCACCAGCACGGGTGTGCTGAACAGCAGTCCCCTCTCACCAGCACGGGTGTGTTGAACAGCAGGCCCCTCTCACCAGCACGGGTGTGCTGAACAGTAGGCCCCTCAACACGGGTGTGCTGAACAGCAGGCCTCTCTCACCAGCACGGGTGTGCTGAACAGCAGGCCCCTCAACAGCAGGCCTCTCTCACCAGCGCAGGTGTGCTGAACAGCAGGCCTCTCAACAGCAGGCCCCTTTCACCAGCATGGATGTGCTGAACAGCAGGCCCCTCAACACGAGTGTGCTGAACAGCAGGCCTCTCTCACCAGCACGGGTGTGCTGAACAGCAGGCCTCTCTCACCAACACGGATGTGATGAACAGCAGGCCCCTCTCACCAGCACGGGTGTGCTGAACAGCAGTCCTCTCTCACCAGCACGGGTGTGCTGAAAAGCAGGCCCCTCTCACCAGCACGGGTGTGCTGAACAGCAGGCCTCTCAACAGCAGGCCTCTCTCACCAGCAAGGGTGTGCTGAACAGCAGGCCCCTCAACACGGGTGTGCTGAACAGCAGGCCTCTCTCACCAGCATGGGTGTGCTGAACAGCAGGCCCCTCAACAGCACGAGTGTGTTGAACAGCAGGCCCCTCTCAAGACAAAACTGGACAAAACAGGGCGCACCAACCGGCCGAGGCTGCCATCATCGGCGCCATCTTGTCTTAAATACGTGTCTGCTTTATAGATTTTTTTAAACCTCCATCTGACTGTACAGAGGGGTAGTTTCTTTCACAAATCTGTCGTTTCGAGAACCTGACTGGGTTTCAGAGGAAGATAACCCTGTGGCGGTGAATGGGAAATTAAACAATAGGGGGATGTGTTTCCGATAAGTGAAGAGGAACTGCAAAAACGGCTCATTTCGCAAGGCGCAAAGGAAGCAGCAACACTTTCACTTTGAGCGCTCTCCATGCAAGAGGTGCTCAACGTGACCTCACACGTGTTCAACAAGCAGTCGTAGAGGCTGAAGCGGGCACTGGGGCCGGTGTAATAGTGGTGAAAATTCTAATTTATATGGCAAGGCCCAATCTGCTCATAGTTCAAGTTTCCGGTTGATTTTGTGTAACCCGGTGGTGAGAACTGATGAGAGCCAGGATAGAGTCTGAATTACACCAGTGACCACCTGGGTCACCAAAATAACAAAAGCAATTACACAAAAGTACAACAATACAATAGAGTACACAAAAATTCGAACAAAACACAATTGTCTTGTAAGATAAATAAATGTACCGCATAAACACATAAACAGATGTAAAATTTAATACATTTCCTGGAACAAAAGTCGTCTAAGACAAAATCACCATAGGTTGACTACAGTTGACTTTTTCACAATTAAACAATGGGGGGATGTGTTTCCGATAAGTGAAGAGGAACTGCAAAAACGGCTCATTTCGCAAGGCGCAAAGGAAGCAGCAACACTTTCACTTTGAGCGCTCTCCATGCAAGAGGTGCTCAACGTGACCTCACGCGTGGCCAACAAGCAGTCGTAGAGGCTGAAGCGGGCACTGGGGCCGGTGTAATAGTGGTGAAAATTCTAATTTATATGGCAAGGCCCAATCTGCTCATAGTTCAAGTTTCCGGTTGATTTTGTGTAACCCGGTGGTGAGAACTGATGAGAGCCAGGATAGAGTCTGAATTACACCAGTGACCACCTGGGTCACCAAAATAACAAAAGCAATTACACAAAAGTACAACAATACAATAGAGTACACAAAAATTCGAACAAAACACAATTGTCTTGTAAGATAAATAAATGTACCGCATAAACACATAAACAGATGTAAAATTTAATACATTTCCTGGAACAAAAGTCGTCTAAGACAAAATCACCATAGGTTGACTACAGTTGACTTTTTCACAATTAAACAATGGGGGGATGTGTTTCCGATAAGTGAAGAGGAACTGCAAAAACGGCTCATTTCGCAAGGCGCAAAGGAAGCAGCAACACTTTCACTTTGAGCGCTCTCCATGCAAGAGGTGCTCAACGTGACCTCACGCGTGGCCAACAAGCAGTCGTAGAGGCTGAAGCGGGCACTGGGGCCGGTGTAATAGTGGTGAAAATTCTAATTTATATGGCAAGGCCCAATCTGCTCATAGTTCAAGTTTCCGGTTGATTTTGTGTAACCCGGTGGTGAGAACTGATGAGAGCCAGGATAGAGTCTGAATTACACCAGTGACCACCTGGGTCACCAAAATAACAAAAGCAATTACACAAAAGTACAACAATACAATAGAGTACACAAAAATTCGAACAAAACACAATTGTCTTGTAAGATAAATAAATGTACCGCATAAACACATAAACAGATGTAAAATTTAATACATTTCCTGGAACAAAAGTCGTCTAAGACAAAATCACCATAGGTTGACTACAGTTGACTTTTTCACAATTAAACAATAGGGGGATGTGTTTCCGATAAGTGAAGAGGAACTGCAAAAACGGCTCATTTCGCAAGGCGCAAAGGAAGCAGCAACACTTTCACTTTGAGCGCTCTCCATGCAAGAGGTGCTCAACGTGACCTCACGCGTGGCCAACAAGCAGTCGTAGAGGCTGAAGCGGGCACTGGGGCTGGTGTAATAGTGGTGAAAATTCTAATTTATATGGCAAGACCCAATCTGCTCATAGTTCAAGTTTCCGGTTGATTTTGTGTAACCCGGTGGTGAGAACTGATGAGAGCCAGGATAGAGTCTGAATTACACCAGTGACCACCTGGGTAACCAAAATAACAAAAGCAATTACACAAAAGTACAACAATACAATAGAGTACACAAAAATTCGAACAAAACACAATTGTCTTGTAAGATAAATAAATGTACCGCATAAACACATAAACAGATGTAAAATTTAATACATTTCCTGGAACAAAAGTCGCCTAAGACAAAATCACCATAGGTTGACTACAGTTGACTTTTTCACAAAATCGTGCTTATCGTATTCACCCCAGAGGAATGGTCAGCTGAATCAACTCGTGACTGCGATTGGAACTCACATCCTTTATGATTGCGAGTCGAGCGCCCGCATCATCATCATCATCAGCGCGGCCTGTGCGGTGTGGATGACGGTTTTCAGAACACGATGCCACGAGGGTTTACATTGCACCTCCTCGTTGTCACTGCAAAAAAGCACGCAAAGTTGGGCTCGGGGTAAATCTCAGCTAAAGAAGTGGTCATGTGCAAAAGATTCCCTAAGCACTGGGAGATGTATGTTGGAGGAACGTATGTATTTATGGATATATGTTGAACTTCTTTCGCACCGTACGTAGCCAACTGTGTAAATTAGAGGTGCGGGAAGGATGAAAAAAACCAAGAAGAAAACCGAATATGTGCAGCTCGGATCGAGGGTAGCCATTGAAGGTCGAGAAGACGACCTTGAACTCGTGACCTAGACCTAAGAAGCGTGACCTAGATCTCAAAACCCAAGTGGATTTCCGTGAATGGCGCGTCGCCTCCTCACTTAGCGAGCGATCGTCCCTTGCACAGTGACTGCCTGTACAGTTACTGGTGAGTGGTGAGTGAGTTAGGAGAGCCTCTAGTGAGGGTCAGGTGATTGGTTAGTTTGAGTGGGTCAGGTGAGTGATAAGCGAGGTGAGTGGTGAGTGAGGGGCAGGTGACTGTCAGGTGTTTGATTGGTGAGTGTCTGGTGAGTGTAAATTGTTAAATTATTAACTTTTTTTAATTAGACCCCATGCATGGGATGGGCTGCCCTCCAGCTTTAAACATGAACACTCTAGTGCGTGTCCTTTCAATGGTTATACACTTTTTGTGTGTGGTAGAATTACATTTTACTCTTTTTATCTGAACTGATCTTGGGCCTTCCCTAAGTATTCCCCTTAAACTGGTGTGATGTGTAAACATCAGCTATGGGGAGACAGTGGAGTGGTTATGGCTTCCCACCTCTTTGTGCGCTTTGCCAGCCTTAATAGGTGCTCCCTAACAGTACTTGTCCTAACGGTCTGTTAAAGACTGTAATCTTTGTGTCAATTTGTGTTTTTGTGTTTCTATCTCAAGAGGCCCAAGAGAGACAATGCTGCCTGCCGTGACAGCCAATACCTGCACCAGGGCCGATGCTGTGAGCAGTGTCCGACCGGTACGAGTCCGTCACTCGGAGTCGTGGGTGGTGACTGGCATGGAAAACTGGACCTTAACAAATGCTGCCCATTGCCAATGGTCAACCCGGTTTTTATCGTGTTGGGAGTTGGGGGTCTCAACCAGGTCACCAGTGCCTGCACACACATCTTGTTACACTCGTTATTTCGGTTAACTCAGTTTTGTTCAAATTTGCCATGCACAAACTCTCTTTCCCCATAATGTTCAATAATGGTCTTCTCATCATTATTCTAAGGTCGATGAACTTGGTACCACTTCTTGGAAGTTGACTGAGCTCTGCCATGGTAATCTGTAAAGTACAGCACTGTCTCAGTGCTGCCAATGCACATGGCGACTCTCCCACGTCTGTTTGAACACGGAGACATTTTAACTTTGATATTAAGGCTTTCATACAGTATTTTACAATCATCAGGTGCATGAAAGGTGAATTTATTTCCATTTACCAAGTAAGACCCACAGAGCTGTATAGCTCTTTTTCAGAAGTTACCTGGCCACAAATGAAAGCTCAACGGAGTGGCTTATGTGGAAATTTACATCAGCCAAATCTAAACGCATTTTTCTAAACGTGGAGGGAAAACCCTGAGGACCCAGACAATAATCTACGTGACCACGGGGAGAGAGACATGCAAACTACAAATATACAGGCGTCAAGGCCAGGATCAAACTCACGACCTCCTGTGTACCAGGTGAGGTAGTTAACATCTCCTAGCCACCGCGGTAACATAAAACAACGCATGGGTAATAGATTTTGGCCAATACAGACTGCAGACATGTTTATATCATCCTCATCTTCATCATCTTCAGTCACTATCCGTACACTGCTGAATGAAGAAGTTATCACGCTCTCATCATACCCCCTGCTCCTTCAGTGCCACAAGCCATCTCACTGCTGCCCATGGATGACCTCGTTGCTATATCTCCATGGTGGTGGTCTTCCCCAAGTCAACCTCTCCATTGGCTATGTTGTAGATATTGTTTTGAAATTTTCGTTACTGCAGGAATACATATTCCTTGGTTCTTTCGGTAAAGTCACGAAGTAAAATACCGAAAGAACCAAAGAGTATGTATATATTGTGTTGTGAAAAAAAAAGAAAAACGATGAAATTATGCTAATTTATGAAGTCATACAAATCAGCAAAAAAGAATAAAATAATGAAACGTGTGTGTATTCATGTTAATCGTGAGTGTAATGTGATCAATCGTACGTGTGATTAGAAGAGTGTAAATATTAAGTGAAAATGTATGTATATGATGTGTATGTGTGTGTAAGAGTATTATTGTGTTTGTATTATGATCAATGTGTGTAGTTACGTGTTATTATTGGCTCTTTCGTTGTCTAGGGGGTGTATTGTGTGTGTGGTTATTTGTGATTGATGTATATGTGTGTGGGTGTGATGATGGGCTTCGTTGTCTAGGGGCATATTGTGTGTATTTGTGATTGCTCTGTGAGTTTGGGTGTGATGCCTAGCTTCGTTACCTAGGGGGTGTATTACCAATCGTGATAATACGTACTAAATGGATGGCCCCCAGTATGGCTTGAGTTTTTCCACGTACGAACGTGTTACCAACTCTTTGGTTCTTTCGAAAGAACCAAAGAGTATGAATTCCTGCAGTCACGAAAGCTTCAAATCAAGAGTGTTATCAACTGTGGTTCTGGGGTCCAGAATCGGTGGCCGGCTTGCTCGAGGCGTGTTTCCCTGTACCGAAAATACCTCGGGTCCCCAACAGGGGTGTTGGGTCGGTGAGGTTGTGTGTGTCAGCACACGGCGTGTTGTTCACTCTGCTGCGCACCCGTGTTGACAGGTGTCGATGGGTCAGGCTCAGCCTGCAGCGGTGCACACAGGGGCCACGTCGCCAGATAGCGCTCGCAGCTTGTCCGCTGGGCGGCAGCGCGTCACCCCCCTTGGCACCAGGCACGATTGATTGTGCATCGAGCTCGACCTTTGCTGGAGGGTGCTTGGGGCTTCCGAGTCAGCACGCTCGTGGTTAGTCGTTAACTGCTGCGCTGCACGTTCGCAGATAATCTGCGTGCCCGGGTCGATCAGCAGTCGGAATGTCTGTGGCCACTTTGCTCCTCCTTGTCAGTGGCAGCTTGCTTTGCACGAGCACCCTTGGTGCCCCTCCCTCGGGAGGGCTCCTGCTGTGGGCTGCTCGTCACTGCTCCTCACTCACTCTCCAAAACTCATCAAAACTCTTATAATCAGAATATTAGTCACTTGGACAACATAACTTTTACAGCCTATAGCTTGAAAAACATTTCATGCATTCTCGATATTCACAGTATATCTCTCGCACATCTTAGCTGATCACAGTATTATATGAAAATGTCTTCGCACACTTCTTAGCTTCTCACAACTCTTGAAGCTTAGTACGGTACAAGTTCTCGTAGTCCTTGACTCTGCAAGCGACTGAAAACAAAAGGAAAAACCGAGAATAAAACTTTCAGCAATACTCAGAGTCTGTCAGCGCAGAACTCAACACTTGGCAATACATAACCCTTTGCCTCTGCAAGACTCGACACTTATGGTTGATTCCGAGGACTATATCCAGGAGCAAGACTCTTGACACTTGTCTGGTTACGGGCGTCTCCCGTAGTTTGCCGTTGCAAGACTACCGTAGTTTGTGTGGATTTGGCTTTGTCGTTATATCCGATATTTTCTACGCCTCTTGCATCCTTCTCACGAAGGCTTGGATTTTCCTTTGATTTCGCTCCTTGGCTCATTATTGCTCGTTTTTTGGTCTTTTAATTTTCTCTCACAAAGCTGTAGGTGTCCTTTTTATTTTGCTCACACAAAGCAGTAGTTGTGGCCATGAGGTTGTGTGTGACCTTCTTGTGTCCGGGTGTGTGCTTGTCTTCACCGCCGCAGTTTGGTTCACGTTGTGAGAAGTGTTCACAGCACTCCTGTCGCAGTTCGAACTCTCGCATGGTGCTTGATTCCCTGCAACCACGTGCTATGCTAGCTACTGGGAAGACAAAGGCGGTTGGTCAGGCTCTGGTTATGCCCCTGGAATGCATGCTATTTGGTCGTGGAGGATTGACATAGTTCGTATTATATTCTTGGTTCTTTCGGTAAAGTCACGTAGAAGGGAAACAATAAAATAATAAAAATTCCCTCATCAAGACTCTGCACCATAGAGCCCAATGCATATCCGACCAGGAACACATAGCCAGTGAACTCAAGCACGTACACCATGCTCTTAAAGCTAATGGTTACTCCGACTACACAATCCGCAAAGCTATCACTCCACCCATGAAGAAGGACCCTCTTGAGGAGCCATTCAAAACCATCACTTTACCCTACATTGCGGGGATCACAATAAAGATCTCCAAAATCTTGAATAAACACAAGATCCAGGTCCGATTCAACACATTACATAAAATCCGTGATCTGGTTCCGTCTGTAAAAGATGTGATTCCGGACATACAGTACCCTGGCGTCTACAAACTAAGTTGCCTCTGTGGTAGTAGTTACATTGGAGAAACCAAACGACATGTCTCGGACCACATCCGTGAACACAAAGCAGACCTAAAATACGGTAGGACCAACACCTCGGCCGTGGCAGATCACTGTTATAATTCAGTAGGCTCACGTGACATTCACTTCTCCAAGACAGAGGTTCTCTGCAAGCCATCTGGCTACCATGAGAGATTCGTTCATGAGGCTATCCACATATACAAACACAGAGACAATTTCAACTGAGAAGATGGATTCTGGCTGAGCAATCATTGGAAGGATTTGATCAAACATTTTGGGTTTTAATTGATTGTTCATGCTTACAGTGGCTCTCAGACCGCATCCATTATTTTCGTCTCCCCCCTCCTCTTTTCCAAACATAGATGGACTCGTCCATCTGAATAACTGCCAAATCGCTCTCCGTGGTGCTAACGATAAAAAACCGCCACTTTTTTCAAATTTTCCTGCTGTGGTTTTCACACCTGATGATGATTGCTTGTGTTGCAGTCGAAACGTCGTGAGAATTGTATTGTTTTATATTTGTATTATTTTATTGTTTCCCTTCTACGTGACTTCACCGAAAGAACCAAAAATATGAATCCCTGCAGTCACGAAAGCTTTAAATCAAAATATAGTTTGTATTGTATATCTTCTGAATGATCTTAGGTATAATACTCCCATAATTGTTATTCGGTTTATGCTGAGCCAAGATTTGTGGCACGTATGTATAGATGGTGAGTGTTAATAAACATGCAACTAGTCGTATTCAAGACCTCCTGAGCTACATCATCATATAACAATACATTCTATCAAGTTAACATTTAATCCTACGTTTGAAATTATTCCTATGAGGTGGTGGTCAATCCAACTTTACAGCTTTCCCAAGCCAAGCTTGTGTGGGGGCGAGGCCTTTGTTTGCTCGAGGCAGGAGTTCACAGGCCTCAGTTACTGCGTTTTTTTTTAGAACTTGCTAAATCCAGATATATGAAAAAAAGAACTATTACAATAGGCAATATAACTTTTAATATATATTTGGAAAAGGCATATATACAACAGCTACCATTCCATCGGCAGTCTCATCCATTGTACCCCACCCCAGCCCACATACCGCTCTGCCGTCCCTGGACACTGCGTGAGCGTGACTGTTGTTGTTGTTGTGCCAGGGTATTTTGTGGAGGCCCACTGCACTGCCTCTGCTCAAACACAATGCAAGTTGTGCCCTGAGGGTTTCTTCCTGGAAGTGACTTCGGGGCGCGATGGCTGTTTGCGCTGTCAGCACTGTGACCCAGGTAAGAGCCGCGAGCCGCAGTGCAAGCGGTGAACACAAATTGAAGAGCGACCCTGCTCAGGTTCTAATGATCATGTTCATCTGGGTAGCACGGTAGGGCCCTGGTAACACTTGCGCCTTAGAGCAAGAAGTACCTGGGTTCGATTCCCAGCTGCATTCTGTGTGGAGTTTGTTGTATGTTCTCCCGCTGTTCTGTATGGGTTTCCTCTGGGTTATCCCAATGCTGAGTGTTTGCGAATCCAATTGGGATTGCACACAGCAGTAACATCGCCTCCTGCGACCTTCCTGAAAAAGAGTTGAGAATCAGTGAGGCTCTCTTTGGCAAACAAGCAGAATAATAACAGTGGGCCTGTGTGTGCGCACACACCTGTGAGCGTTTGTATGTGTGCGCACACACCTGTGAGCGTTTGTGTGTGCGCACACACCTGTGAGCGTTTGTGTGTGCGCACACACCTGTGAGCGTTTGTGTGTGTGCACACACCTGTGAGCGTTTGTGTGCTGCTGGTGGGGAGCGGTGGCGTAGCGGTTAGCGCGCTGCGCTTCAAACCCGACGACCCAAGTTCAATTATCGCTCACGGCGATTATCTTAACCCGTCCTGGTCCTCCCCTAGGTCGACTCGGCCTCAAATGCGTACCTGGTGGGGTGTGTCAACATCGCCACTGGGGAGACAAAGGTGCTTGGGCGTGATGCTGGCCACCCACTCCCTCGTGTGCTGTGCCAGCCTTCGTCGGCGCTCCTCGCTAACAGCACTTGCTCCTACAGTCTAAGGCTACACGGGGGATATTTGTCTTTGTGTGCATGATGTGGTCTCAGTGGACGGCCTAGACGAGGCCGTCCACTGCTCTGCAACGTCGGACGCGCGCTGCCGCTGCCAGGCGGGGTCCTTCTGCTCCCACCCGAGCGGCAGCAGCTGCCTCCTGTGCCGCAGCCACTCCTGGTGTGATGCCGGCACACAGCTCCTGCGCAACGGTGAGCTCCACTACACAGCGCTCACCACCACCACTCAGCACTCACCACTACCACCCAGCACTCACCACCACTCAGCACTCACCACAACTACTCAGCACTCACCACTACTCAGCACTCACCACAACCACCCAGCGCTCACCCCAACCACCCAGCACTCACCACTACCACCCAGCACTCACCACCATACCACCACCACCCAGCGCTCACCCCAACCACCCAGCACTCACCACTACCACCCAGGACTCACCACCATACCACCACCACCCAGGGCTCATCACCACACCACCACCTAGCACTCACCACCACTCAGCACTCACCACAACCACTCACCACCACTCACCACAACCACCCAGCGCTCATCACAACCACCCAGCACTCACCACCACCAGCACTCACCACACCTCAACCTCACCCATATAGCCTTAACAGACTTTGGGGCAAGTGCTGTTTCGGAGCTCCGGCACGGTTCACGAGGGGGTGGGTGGCCAGCACCACGCCCGACCGCCTTTGTTTCCCAAGTGGTGATGTTTACACACCGCGTCAAGTACTCACTTAAGACTGAGTCGACCTAGGGGAGGCACAGGACCGCTTCAGATAATCGTAAAAGTTGCTGGTCATGAGTAGGAAACAAACTCAGATCACTGGGGCATCATCTCCCTCCGCAATGTGCTGGGTAAGGTCCTGACAAGGGATATTCAACATTGGCTTCCCAGGCACGCTGAGGAGAGGCTTGCAGAGCCCAAATGAGGTATCAGGCCGGAGCGGTCCACAAAGGATGCAATATTTTCTGTCTGTCTGCTACAGCAGAGGTGAAGGGAACTTCAACTAGACGTACATCTCTCTGGTTGTTCTTCGTGCCTTTGTGGTGCCTGACTCTCTGTTCACAATCATTAAGGACGTTCATGATGGTGGGCAGTCCTGGGTAAAGCTGCGTGGCCAGAAGTCAGAGCCATTCCCTGTTCATCTTGCATCCATGCAACATGGATACCCTCCATGTTGTAACATGGATGCCCTCTGGCTACTATATTATTTAACATCTTATTCGACTACAGCGATGCCTTGACTTTCGTCCACTTGACTTTCGTCTCTTCGCTCTTTCGGCCGTTTTCAATTATAACCACATTTCAAATTCGTCCACGTGCTTTCCTCTTTCAGAAGATTTCATCCAACCTTCCATGATGTTCGCGCCATGCGCTATCTTTTTTGGTCAGTCTTTGAATAGAAGTCGTTCAGTGAGCATCTCTTATATTTGTGTTTATTCATATATTATTAATACTGTACTTATTTATGTGATTATACTGTAAACAATTCATAGTTATTTTTGTGATAACAATATAATAATACTGTGTTTACTTACGCAAGAATTGAAAATATTTCAAGGTATAAATTTTTTTATTTATTTAGTATTGTTGCTTTATTTAATCTTGATTTGAAGCTTTCGTGACTGCAGGAATCCATACTCTCTGGTTCTTTCGGTAAAGTCACGTAGATAGAAAAATTATAAAAGAAACACGACGTTTCAGTCGCAACAAAAGCATCCGTCATCAGGTGAGAAAGAATGATCTGCTGTTGTGGCGTTCTATAGGCACGGGATGGGGGGGAAGGGGGGGAGGGGTTTTGTAGAGTCGCGGCTGCAGGAGTTCACGGGGGAGAGGGGGGAGGGTTTGTGGCGTGCAGGGACGTGTGGGGGCTGGAGACGTGTGGGGGCTGGAGAAATTAGCATGTCAATGAGCTTGAATTAGTAAACGAAAACAGCACGGGTGGGTGAGTGAAAATCACAGCAGTTAAAACTTGGCGTGGTTTATCACGTCCTTCCAATGATTGCTCAATCTGAATCCATCTTCTCGATTAAAGTTTTGTCTGTGTTTGTATATCTGGATGACTTCATGAACAGATCTCTGATGGTAGCCCGAGGGTTTGCAGAGCACCTTGGTCTCGGAAAAAACAATGTCATGTGTGCCCACAGTGTTGAAACAATGATCCGCCACCGCCGAGGTGTTGGTTCTACTGTGTTTCAAATCCGCTTTGTGTTCGCGAACCCGGTCTGAGACATGTGGCTTCGTTTCACCAATGTAACTGCTGCCGCAGACACAACTTAGCTTATAGACACCAGGACATTGCATGTCCGGAATCGCATCCTTCACCAATAGGATCAAATCACGGATTTTTTGTACTGTATTGAACCGAACTTGGATCTTGTGTTTGTTCAAAATGTTGGAAATCATTTTGGTGCCCCCTGTTATGTATGGCAAGGTGATGGTTTTTGATTGTGTCCTCAGATGGTTGGGGATGCAGCTTTGCGTATTGTGCGGTCAGAATATCCATTCCTCCTGAGAGCCTGGCGTACGTGCTCAAGCTCACTGGCTCGGTGGTGCTGGTCGGAGATGCAACGAGCCCTATGATGTAGTGTTTTGATAAGGGAATTCTTCTGGGCTGGATGGTGGTGGGAGTCAGGCTTTAGATAGGAATCCTTGTGGGTGGCTTTTCTATAGACAGTGTCCCAATGAGCCATCAGGTCTCTTCTCGATCAAAAAATCCAGGAATGGTAGCTTGCCGTCATTTTCCACTTCCATAGATGGAGATGGGTGTATGGAATTGATGTGGTTGAGAAATTGGTACAGTGCCGGCAGGCCATGTGGCCAGATGACGAACGTGTCATCTACATATCTCTTCCACAAGGAAGGACGTCGGGTGGATGTCTGGATGGCATCAGTCTCAAATTTCTCCATGAAAACATTCGCTACCACTGGTGATAGGGGAGAGCCCATTGGGGTACTTCATTCTGTTTGTAGAAAGTACCATTCCAGGTGAAGTAAGTGTTGGTAAGGCAGTACCTTACCAATGACGGTACATAGGATTCAGTCCCTGTTGGACCAAGACTTCAATGATTGCAATAGTATCAGGTACGGGTACCTTGGTGAAGAGGGAGACTACATTGAAACTGACAAGCAAATCCTCCAGGGACAGTGATATGTCCTGATTAGTGAAACCAAGTGGGCCGAATTAAGTACAGCTGAGGCAGTCTTGCCCGTAAAGGGAAGCAGAGTCTGAGACAAAAATCGTGCCAGTCTGTAAGTGGGCGAGTTAATGGTGGAGACGATAGGACGGAGTGGAGTACCCTCTTTATAGATTTTTGGAAGGCTGTAATTATTATGTTTATTTTTCTTTTATTTCTGTTTATTTAGGTTTTGCACGCATGTGTTATATAGTTACTGTAGTTATTTGCATGTACGTTTTTATATTTATTGTAGTTATTTGCATGTATGTTTTTCACCGGCCAAAATAAATTTGCAAGCGAAATAAAGACTCTGCTTTGACATTTGTCCATTTTGACATTCGTCCATGCTCTGGTCCCTAATTAGACGAAAGTGCAAGGTATTCCTGTAAATAGTTCAATAACCTTTCCATGGGTCTACCAAAGGCTGATTGATGCCAGGGTGCAGTCAAATGATGGCTCCCTATTGGTAAACCATGTTATGTATTTTTTTTATTTAAAGCTTTCGTGACTGCAGGGATTCATATTCTTGGTTCTTTCGGTAAAGTCACGTAGAAGGGAAACAATAAAATAATAAAAATATAAAACAATAAAATTCTCACGACGTTTCGACTGCAACACAAGCAATCATCATCAGGTGTGAAAACCACAGCACTTTTTTTCAAATTTTCTTGCTGTGGTTTTCACACCTGATGATGATTGCTTGTGTTGCAGTCGAAACGTCGTGAGAATTGTATTGTTTTATATTTTTGTTATTTTATTGTTTCCCTTCTACGTGACTTTACCGAAAGAACCAATAACATGTTATGTATGTTGATAATCTGGTAATTTCTGCTCACTTTGAGAATACGTTAGAGGGTCTGCTGCTATACCTGGAGCGTGCCGTAAAGAGGTGGGGCCTTTACCACCAGCCCCAACAAAACTAAGCACCTTCCTGGGTATTTTGTGTCATCAAACACTCCCATCGCCTCAACTCCCCATTAGTGATGGGACAGTTGAGTAGACAGTGGAGACGTTTCCGTGCCTGGGTAGTGTAGTTCTGGCAGGTATCTGTCATGTATTTTAATATTTGATTTGTCTACGGTACGTTTGAATTGTTATATACAATGACAAGCCCTCTCTATTGTCTAGATTCCTAGCCAAATCGGCTGTTGTGTGTTTTTGTAAAGGCTCCGAGACTGCGGATGTGGAGTGCGTGCCGTGCAGCCCTGGGACGTTTTCTCCTGGTGGAAACTCCCGGTGCAAACCTCACACCAAGTACGATGCTCCAACAGCCCTCGCTCCCGCACGCCCCCCAGGGCAGTCACGTCGAGAGGGCATCACGGCCACTGCCCCAGTGGCACTACAGCTCCCCTTGTTACACCACTGGCCTATTCTTCAAGGGCCACGCTAGCAGTCTCCTGCTCGCCAGCTTTAAGTCTCCCCCTTTTCGCAGTCGATTGTTCCTGCAGTATCCTGCCATCTGCTTTTTGACATCTACGGTTGACACATGCATGAAAGATACGGATTTCTACGTATACGGCGTTTAAACACAATGGCGTGTCAACAGAACACATACACGAGGTTCACTGTGGAGAAAAGACAGAAGTGGGATTTGAAGTCGGTTGCATGCTCTCATCGTTTACAAGTCCAGACATTGCTCTGATCGTTGTTACGTGAGATGGCGAAACTTATTTTTGAGAACTATTCAACGCCCACGCGTGATGTTTGGATGTTATAGCGGTCGAATGTTTATCTTGCATATTAATGCACATGTATTGGCTCTATAAGAAATTGGGGGGAGTGCTTGTGTAGCAGGTTGCGCACTGCACTTAAAATCCGGTGACCTGAGTTTGATTCCAGGTCGTGACTGACGTCAGTGGCGAGTGATATCTGAACCGGTCCTGGACTGCCCGCTCACAAACCTGCACTTACCGGCACGGTGAAATATAGCCAAACAAAACCTCATGAACAACACAGTGTGGGAATGCCTTCATCGAGCAGTGGGTTGACAGAGGGCTGTAAATTATTAGTTTATAATCGATGATGACAATGTTGATTATGATTATGGTCTACCTCTTCCTCCACTTATTGAAAGTTTCCCTGTATTATGGACTCGCCTTTCCAGTTGCTCATCAGAGGGCCGGCTCTTGGTTCTGGAGGGATCGGCTGTGAGTGACGCACGCTGCATGGTGATTCCCAAGTCCCCGCCTCCCGAGCCTTCAGGTAGACACCGAACGCTCCGTGTCTCCTTCAGCTCCTTCTTCATTGCTAACAGCAGTTGCTCCTGCACGAGAGCTGTCGGGAGTTGAAAAGATTCCAGTGTAGAGCTCGTTCGGTACGTGCACCACGACGTTGCCACGTTCATGAGAGGCCCCACAAAGTGGATTATAATTATGGGTTCATGTTTGCGTGGGAATGTGCACATCATTGTGGGAAGCGGTTGTGTTGCGGTTCGTGCGCCACGCTTCGGACAAGTACGATTCCCACTCATGGCCAATACCAGTGACGATTATTTGAACTGGTTCTGGGCCTCTCCTAGGTCGACTCAGCCTAAAATGAGTACCTAGTGTGGTGTGAAAACATCGCCACTAGGGAGACAAAGGCAACCGGGCATGGTTTTTGCCACCCACCTGGTCGTGTCCCATCTCGGCCTTCATAGGTGCTCGTTCACAGCAATTGCCCCAGCAGTCTGTTAAGGCTATATGGGGATATTTGTCTTTGTTTATAATATTGTTTTTGTGTGTATAGTATTGTGTATGTGTGAATGTGTTTCTGTGTGTATAGGATTGTGTATGTATGTGTGTGCAGCCCCGTTGATGCAGAACACAATCATCATTGCCGTGTGCACGGGAGCAGTAATCCTGAGCATTGTGAGCTTTGCGATGGTGGTGATGCTGATGGTGCGTCAGAGGACCCGGCCGAAGAGCCAGTGCAGTCGCCTGGAGGCAGCGGGTGAGATGCCTCCACTCTCACACATAACTCTTCTTATCTGCGCTCCTCTTACCCGCAACTCATATTATCCATGGGAGCTGTATGGTCTGTGTAAACCCCATTATCCGTGGCCCTGTTATTCACGCGTGTAATCCACAATTGCGGTCATTCCTCGGTTTACGAAGCTAATTCGTTCCGGAGACCCATTCATAAGTCGACCGGCTCGTAAGTAGGAACACAATAATGTACTGTATTTAAATGTCCACGGGTCAGTGTTATTAAATGCGTTTCAGTTCAACAAAAACTCCTTTAAAAAGTTGTTTTTTTTAAACAACGCTTTTATTTTAAAGTGCGCTAAAAGTAAATAACTCGTTTGGACAACGGGAAGTGGACGACATCTTGATTACAAGAGACACGCGGTACCTGCTTCATGTGCGAGCCGATTCCACAGCTTAGGGACCGCGGCGTTTTTCACATACACAAATATATAATTAATGTGCCGTCCATGAAAAAATGTAATTGCTTGAAACGAGGCAATTAATTGATTAATTGATGCCGATTTTAATACAGGCATGCATTGTCACCGGATCTGAGTACATGTGCAAAATTTGGAATTGATTGGACAACAGGAAGTAGACTCAATTTTTATTACAAGATTTGACCACGACACAGGAGTCAAGTTAAGTAAAACCATACTCTTTGGTTCTTTCCTTTTTTCAACGGTTTTACTTAATCTTGATTTGAAGCTTTCGTGACTGCAGGAATCCATACTCTTTGGTTCTTTCGGTAAAGAGTATGGATTCCTGCAGTCACGAAAGCTTCAAATCAAGTCTAGATTTAAAGCTTTCGTGACTGCAAGGATCCATACTCTTTGGTTCTATTCGGTAAAGTCACGTAAAAACAACAAAAAATAAAAATACAAAATTCACGACGTTTCGGCCACAACACAAGTGGCCACTTACCGAATAGAACCAAAGAGTATACTTCAAATCAAGATGAAGTAAAACCGTTGAATAAAGGGAAGAAATGTTAAACTCATAAATAATAAGAAATATTTTACATTTGCATGTAACATTGTAAAAAAATACTGTATAGTAAATTAACATAAAATAAGGTAACCTAAATAGAGAAAGAACCAAAGAGTAGAGAAAAAATGTTTTATTTTCACTGACTTGTCGGAAGGGGGGCAATGAGTCATCACAATTACACACACACAGGGGCGTGCCCCCGTATTTAGGTTACTTTATTAAATGTTTATTTACTATACATTCCAATATTACATGCAAATGTACAATATTTATCCTTATTTATGAGTTTAACAATGCTTCCCTTTTTTATTGCACCATAATTGTACCATAACACTGACTGTATGTACTGTACGATTAAATATTCAGTCCTGAGATACGAAAAATTGACTTACGAACGGGTCTTGGGAACGTAATACGTTCGTAAGTCGAGGACAGCCTGTGTATAGGAGCGTAGTACAAACAGTGAATACTATTACACCACCACTAGAGGGCAACACAAGTTGGTATTGATTTTGTTCACGCTGCTATCAGTTTCTGTTGTTTTGTTTAACTTGGCCACATTTGCCTGTAGTCTTTAGATGGTTGCATTTTGTTTTACTCGGCTCGTTTTGTGGATAATACTGATCACAGACTGACCTCTTGTTTAACGTGGTGGTATTTGGATACCGCATCCATCTTGTGTTTTTCTCCTATAGTAACCGCCTGTGCGCACGTGCTGTGTTAGCAGAGAGTGGCTCCCAGCGTGCCTCCAAGCAGAGAGCAGCGCATGGGCGCCTGGACCCTCAAGGCAGTGATGGCTCGAACACCGAGGACCGGTGCTCGATGCTGGAAGTGGATCGGAACCAGCTCTCCCTGCTGTCCCAGGTTCCCGTCCATGGCTCCTCGATATCCATCTCCAAGTCGTCTCACTATCCGCTGGAGGAAAGTGACGCGGTGTTGGAGTCAAGCAACCTGGAATGTCTGCAAAGCCTTCCCTGCCAAGACTCGGGCAGGCAGGGCCAATCCTGAGCCGTGGAGACCTACACTATGGTTGCAACACTCGCACCAAAAGCATTAGTTTCGTAGAATATTTATTATGTATTTGTAGAAAGTATATGGAAATACAGGTTTTTTTGTATATGGTGGGATACCATCAGGACAGACCCTGGAAGTCAAACAACTGGTCTGGTAGAGTCGCGGGATCTGGCAGAGGGTATAAATGGTAAATGAGGTGTAGTGGCATTGTGGCAGATCCAAGAGGAGGTGATGGGGGATATTTCAACCTCCCCTTGAGACTTCGAAACTTGTTATTCCATTGATATTTACTTGTCAAATGTGTTAAAAATATATATTGTTAATTTAGCACCCTATTATTTTGGGATCACCAGGCCCTTGGGAAGTTTATAGATCTGACTGATTGGCATCAACCGTTGTGGCCTTGATGACATCTTCATGTTCAGAATGTGTCCAGCAAAGCTCTTTTTCCCTTGAAGATGGAAATTAAGGGGAGAGTGTTTTACACGTATAAGTTTTGATATTTATTAAACATTGTTAAATGGTATGTGTTTAACAAGGCCGTAATTATAATATATATTGTGGGGGACACATCCCCCCAATATTCAAATATGCTCAAAATGTCCCCCCCAATATATTGCTATAATAAAATGCTATGCTATGTAAATCTTGGCCACAATATCTGGACTTGTCTTCATTTCAATCAATGCATAGATTAATGTTTATATGATTGTGGTTATGGTTGTACTTTATTAATCCCTAATCTCTGCCATTACATACAATGAAACAAGAAATGGTAAAAAGGTAAAAAGCAGAGCAATGTAATACAATACACTACTATACATTATTGTAAGAAAAAAGTCCATCCCATGTGTTAGTGAATTTTTTAATATTTTAGTCAGGAAATGAGTTTTCAAATGTAGATATTTTTCTGGGTTGGGACCCCCAGACACCCTGGAAGATTTGGTCCCCCCCAATGTTGACTTCATGGCTACGGCCTTGGTGTTTAATATTTATGTTAAATCATTAATAGGATAGGGATGTTTGGTGACGTCATGGCCTAGTGAGCAGCACTGAGACCTCTCTAGTCCCTACTATAAAAAACAACCCTGTTCAATAGATCGCTTTTTTCTCGTTTGCTGATTTCTTTCTTTGCTCGAGGAGTTTAGAGGGGGTCTTTGGTTGCTTGTTATTTTTTGCCTTTGAGGTGATGAATTCCAGCAAAACACCTCTTATCAAAGTGCCCATTATCCGTGCTTGCTATTGTCTGCTCACCCTAAGCGATGGCCACACCTAATTATATGTGCACTACATTCTTCCTGTAGTCCGTGCCACTCGGTGAACAGAGAAAGTGACGCAACATTCTTGTTTTTAGAGTGGTGGCATGAACTTGTCACCTAAAAGTGTTTTTCCCAAAAAAGACCTTGATCGAGAAGTGGCAGCAAATTCATCCTGGTTCATTAAATCCATCATTAATATCCATCAAATTCCTCCTTTCCCTGTTAAATTCACCCTTATTCGCAAAATGCAGCCTGATTATCCGTCGCATTCATCCTTTTCCAAATAGAAGTAAACTGTATGGATAAACACGGATACCAGGACCTACCCAAAGCCCTCTCCACCATGCCCCCATCAAATCAGATAAGTGGAGGTTAACTATATCTGCAGTTTTGTACAGGTGTTTTAAATTATCTTGTATGTTTCCTGAAAACTCGATCAATCGTAAAAGTCCAGAAAAATCTGGATAAAGAAAAAACAAAAATAATGATCACAAAAAATCCAAAAAGGATTGTGTGAAAACTCACATTCCGCAGACCTGACTCCTTGTGCCTCTCGCATGCTTCCACAACCAAGAAATCCCTTGTGGACAAAGCTAATGGCTAATAGAAATCAAGTGATGTATGCTTATCAACTGGCAAGAGAGTCCTTCCAGACACTGAATACTGAATTAATAACAAATGAGTACATTTGGTAATCGCACCATTCCTAAAGCGCAAGGCTGTGTTTCACAGATACGGTATGCAGTAATTGTGTTTCACAGACACGGTATGCAGTAGTTTCAGAGTAGGGGAAAATAAAATAAGTAATCCTAATTGAGTAATTTGCGGTGTCATTTTTCAAAGTTGAAAAATTTGGACCATGACTAACACTGTCCTACGCTTGTGAATGAATAACGGGATCTTTAACATCCACTGTGAAGCAGATTGCGCAGTTCTTATGTGGAAGATTGTTAATGGGAGCAGCCTGCCAGATATGAACAACGAACCTCTGCAATAAGTGGTGAACGCGCTACTGCAGGACCGTGTCACCACCGCCCAAGCTTGGAGCATCCATGGGGCAGGTGTATGGCATGGAAAAAATAATTTTACGTCTTTAATCATGACACAGACTTGTGATGTCCCTATTTGAGAGATTTTTTGTTGTTTTTTTTTCTTTTAGGTGGCCTCTAATACGGCAGTAGCAGGTGTTCATTTTTTCAGATATTAGAATCGGCTCTTATTTGTGGGGTTTCTCTCTGAACTTCGGATTTAACAGTATCAAAGAATCAGCCAAGCATCCCATTGCAGGATATTTTTTCTAGATAGATAAAGGATCTATTTCCCCAAATAGTTCTTAACAAGCAAGTATGATACTATAAAAAAAAGGTTTGGCTGGCTTACTGGAGGGAGGGAGGGACGAACGAACGGTCACATCGAAAGTACATGCAGGTTGCTAGGGTTTTTTTTTACATGATTAACTCTTACGTATTCTGTGAGTCTAAAATGGAATAGTACAGCAGAAATATAAGGCAAGCTACTATAATATATATGGTAAAAAACAACAGCACGGACGTTTAAAAGCAGCGTTGCTCAGCACAGATACGTTGTAGCTGAGGGATGAATTTTAAATTCTAGGAGAATCAATGCCGTGTCCTTAGCCACACGTTTATCTGCGAAGTGACCTCAACGCATGCAACAAAATAAACTGTGGCCTGGAAACTAAAAATATACACATTAACAGGTGACGTTTTGGGCAATAGCTCTTCATCTCACACGTGTAATACGGGAAGCTGCTACCCAACTGGTTCAAATGTTTAACACGTAGGCTTTCGCGACCAATATTTAAAAACTAGTATCTTGCACTAAAGACGAATTACCTAAATTATCAACAGGTGTATATCGGATTAATTGTTTATGTGGCAGATGCTATATTGGACAGACGGGACGTAGCATCAGCATAAGACTAAAAGAACACCAAAGAAATATTAAATTATCTCAAACACAACTGTCGGCAGTGGCAGAACATGCTTATCAACAAGGACACTCAATTGATTTTGATAACGTTGAAGAGTTGTGTAAAACTAATTATTACTGGCAAAGACTAATTAGAGAATCCATTGAAATTGAGAGAAACAGAAATAACTTTCATCGTTCTGATAGCTATAGGCTTAGTGCGGCTTGGAAGCGTATTATTAAATAATACATATTACAATTCCTTATAGGGGAAACACATTAATTAACGGATTACTAATGTAGCATATAATCACAATAACACACATTACAACTAAACGCGATCTAACCCAAAAACTTTTACTATGAATAATATTGGTCGCGAAAGCCTACGTGTTAAACTAATCATAACCATTGATTACCAATCGATTATATAATTACTGCACCTGGATGAGTTAAATGATGACGTCACCCTGCTGCTCTATTTAAGACCGGGAGCAAGTGAGGGCTTTCCCATTCTGGCGAATTGCCCGATGATGCTGGATGTAATTACCAGCGAAACGTCGTACTCAAACTGTTAATGTTGTGGATTCACTCTTCAACACACCGGTGGGCTAAAGTAGTGAACTAATTGTCTTTTGTCAACGTGACACTTTTTTTGCTGATTGGCCGTGTCGGGTGGTGGAGGGTTACGACACATTTATAAATAACGCGATCTAACCTCAAAAACATTTTATTATGCATTACTATGGTTCAAATGTGTATGTTTAGTGTGGATCGGTGGGACGGTGGTTAGCACACTGTGCTCCAAACCCGGCGACCCGAGTTCAATATCCCGCTCACGGCCACCATCAGTGACGAATATATGAACCGGTCCTGGACTTCTCCTAGGTCGAATCATGTTTAAATGAGTACCTGGTGCTGTGTGTAAACATTCGTGGGGAAGCAAAGGCGTGGCGTGTTAGCCTCCTCCATAGGCGCTTGCCAAGAGCACTTGCTCCAACGGCCCGTTGGAGGCTAAAAGGTAAATCTTTGTCTTTAATATATACTGTGCTCAAAACTGCACATGTAATGCGTTCAAAACTCATATCCAACCCAACTTTTCGTTGATTCCGTCACTGGAATGTGCTTGATGGAGGGAGGCAAGATGGAGCCTGGATGGATGCCTACCACCATGCACGTGTGTTGTTGTTGGCTGCAGGGCTACGTAGTGAGCAGCAGAGGGCAGTGCAGCAAAATCCATAGTTGGACTGTACTACGTTGACGGCATCCCGAATTCTTCCTGGGTCAATCAACGGAGTACTGTAGTACCCGATTCAGGGAAGGCTCGTTTATGGATTCTGCCATAAGAACGTGCAATTATCAGCGCTGGCAGTGGATATGAGCATGGCGACAGACGCACTTGCTTTGGTGGGACGGCCCCGTGACACCCCACGTGTGTTGACGGCGAGCGGCGAAGGGCTGCGAGAGTTCGGTTCTTCACCGGTGGTGCACGCAAGGGAATTCCCAACCGGGGTCGTGAGTTCTCACTCGGGGCTCTGGGGCCAGCGCGTAGCCAGCAGCTCGCCCTGTACGAGCATCGCGAGCCAGCCGGCTGCGAACGCGACATTACATTTGAGAAAGTCCCGCCGTGGGTCCAATTACTTTTTGGATTGAAGTTCAGCGCTCCACAGACGTCCTCCAGGCAGTGCGGATGCGGAGATGGCGCTGCTCGCTTCTGCGGTAGTTTGTTGCACAATGGGTGTGACTTTTATCCCCCGGTGCTGCCTGCGTAACTGGGTCAGCAGCTGAACACAAACACAACAGGCATGGACAGCACGGACAGCACTGCCTTGCTGTGCCCAACGTAGACGACGGAGGTGCAGAGAGAACAGAGGATCCGGGACGCCGGGGGCAGTGTTGGGGGGCGGGGGGGGGAGCGTCATCCCGGAGACCGCGTGGGGTACTTCGGACACTTAGGGGATTCCTCTCAATGGGAAAACCAATGAAGAAGGGATGAGGTCACCATCCCCGGCAGAACCTTGCGTTATTGATCCTACAATAGGTTCGTGTTAAAACTATTAAAAGGTATATGTTGGTTAGCTTGTACAGTGTTTCACAAACTGATAAAAAAATACAATGCACGTGCGTGCTTTGAGAGGTGTATGATTTGAGAGTGCATGGACACAACCTTGGACACTCGAGTTGACATGAACCCACTCGGGTGAAGAAGAAGAAGAGGGGTGAACGCAGCACTAACCCAGCAGAACGTCGCGGAGTCTCAATAATTGTCTCTCAAGACGGTCCTGCATTAACGATGTCGCTAGAACGAGCAGACAAATGTTTAAACATCCAGACAGATGGATGTTGTGCTGCCTTCGCATTATGGGAGTTGTTGCAGGGCGTGACTACTCTGTGTGACCCACCACCAGCCTGGCCGAACAACGCCCTGCTATGCGCTTATTCCTCTTTTTAATT